CCCCGCCCCCGCACCACTCATCCCCACCCAGCCGGCTGTTGGCCCCGCCCCTGGCCCCGCACCCATGGCTACCCCGGTCCCACCACTGGTGGGTGTGGCCCCAGCGGGGGTCTGGGGTGGGACACAAAACCCCAGCTGCGAACCCCCCCACTTTTATTTCTTTTCTTTCTGTCAAAAAAGGGGCAAGAAGTTGCTGAGAAGTTTGCATGAGACCCACGTGGTTAAGATCCCATACCTCTGAATCCAGCCATAGGCTAAGATCCCACGTGCTTAAGACAAGAAGCAAAACCATACCTCTGAATCCAGCCATAGGCTAAGATCCCACGTGCTTAAGCAAACCCCTCACAGTGGATCCTTGTTTCTCAGACACAGTGGTGTTTTTGGCTTGAATGCTTCCGTGACTCTCGATCCCTTCTAACACTAATTGAACTTGCCTGGTAGTTGGATAGTATTCATGTTTGTGGCAACTTTGTGATGCATTCGTATCGAGCATGATGCTCTTGAGATGGAGGCACAGTCGATCATTGTTTCTCACACAGTGGTGGTTTTGGATTCACGACTCCCATGACTCTCGCTCCTTTCTAACACACAGTCCATCCTTGTTTCTCAGACACGGTGGTGGTTTGGGCTTCACTGCTTCCGTGACTCTCGGTCCCTTCTAACACGAATTTAACGTGCACAGTAGTTGGATAGTATTCATGTTTGTGATGTGCATTCCTATCGGGTATGATGCTCTTGAGATGGGGGCAGGAAGTAACGGCCTCGTTCCACTAGTCACCAAATTTGGAAAATGAGGATGAGTCTTCCGCAAGAACATGGAAAAATGCACTGCCATATTTTTTGTCGTTTGTGCATATCGTGAGTAGTGCAGCGAGGCCCTAAGTCATGGGAAACGTTCCATCTTGGAATTGTGAGGGCATCCTAGATACAGTATTTGTAGTAATGTTATACCCATGGAGTCTTGGAGAAACATTTTTGATGTACCTGTGTAACCAACCAACTGGGGGCATGTGCTCCAGATGTTGGTGGGTCCGATCCTTTGTCGTTGTCTTAGGCAACATGGGAGAGATTTTGCATGTAGTTGTATGCATATTCATGTTTCCTGTGCATAATGTGCTTGTGATGGAGGCTCATGTTTCCAACTTTCCAGTGCATAATGTGCTTGTGATGGAGGCTCATGTTTCCAACTTTCCAGTGCATAATGTGCTTGTGATGGACGTACGAGAGTAACCAAGTTGTACCTTGGAATTCATGCTAGATGTTCCTCATGATTTTATAACGTTTGTGTTTTTGGTGCATGCCTTTTGAGCATGGTGCGCATGCGATGAAGGCATGGGAGGCATGGGAGTAAGCTACATTCTATCTTGGCATCCTGATCGCATTCTATACAGAAAATATTTGTGGTTTTGTAGGCCTTCTGCTGATGTATCTGCAGCCAACTGTAGGGCCATGTCTTCCAACCCTTGGTTGATCTAGCCCTCTTTGCATTTGTTACACAGTCGACGTCATAGGCGGCTGAGTGTGTCTGCATCTGGAAACAACAGAGGTGCCATCCAGCATTGTACGAGAGAGCTCCTTCGTATCTCCGAGTTCCATCCCAGATTCAGGAGTGGAGGAGCTCAAAGGGCTAAACAGACTTCTGTCAGACTGCTTCACACTGAACGCGTCCGGATGTGGAAACTGTCATTTTCAAACTTGGAGAGCAGCCTGTCGGAGCGTGCAATGTGGCGGAAGGCACTCTCGAGCGGGATTTCATGTTCGGGGGCACTCCCAAAAATTTCTAGAACTCAGGAGTGGATGGGGCAAGGCCCTACCTTCTGCCACTGCTATGCGATCTAGTTTCTCTTCCTGTCCTCTTATTTCTCATCTCCTTTCCTGATATGCTTTCTATGCCTTAGTTTGAGTTCATCCATTTCCGGACCCTGCTTTTTTGTGCCTGTGCTATTGACAGTGTTTGAGCATGCGGTTCTACCAGATGTGTGATCAGACCCTGTAATGGTGTGCCTGTTTTTTCTCTTTTAATGTTTTTTAGCTTTGCTCACGGGGATTCAAACTCGGGGTCTGCAATTCAATAGTTCATTGGTGTACCAACTGAGCCACACCTGTTGTTGCTTGTTGCTTTCTGGTCATGGTCTTTGTGCAGACTCAGCCTTCACTCATGGTTGTAGAGATGGGGAGGATGGGGAAGGTGAGCAGTGATTGGCACCCTGGGCATGCTTTTATCACTGTGGTATTGCGAACATGTTTCACTCTCGTTTTCAGCTGGGATTTTTTCTAAGTCCGACAGCTTGTTCTCATCACCGTATTTTGCTTCCCTGTTTTGGAAAACTTTTGCAACAAGAATACCGCACTGACATGACATGGGAGAAACCTGAGACGCCCACACATTATTTGGGCTTCTTGCTTATGAAAGATGGTTTTGCACTTCAAATGGCTCAAGGGTCAAAACGTACTCTCTAATCAAATTAATAAGATGGGTAGGTGGGGGAACACATTCATTTCCCTGTTGGGCCGAGCTCTGACTATCAACACATCTGCTCTTTTCTGAATGATGTGGTATATACTATATAGTATATACTGTATAGCTTCAATTTGGACAATGCCCAACCATACAATTAAGGACCTTAATCGCAAAGCGAGAGCCTACCTGTAGTTGGGCCACCCCAAGATGGTTGAAGTTAATCGGTCAGGATGCCAATCAGATATCCCAAATACCGTGGATTTTTTTGAACGACAATTTGCCTGTCAAAATGAGGAGCCTCCAATGGCCCATCTCCTACGCGGCTCTGCCAGTCAACCAATGGTTGCAGATCAGAAGAAGGAAGACCGATCCTAGCGGCTCGGACTTATGTGTGCTATGCTTGGAAAATGGATCAAAAGACATGATACACTGCTTAATACGTTGTAGAGAGGCGACGGAATACTGGGCTGGGAGGCATCCAACTCCTCCTATGGACTAACATCCCTGCCCACCTTTCGGAAGACACAGAGGATCTGGTTCGGCATGATAAAAAAGGTGGCACTTTGGTCTGTCTATATGGAATGAAAGGTGCTGCAGAACTCTTGAAGGCCTCTCCAGTCCAGGAGAGAGCGTGTGGGCAGCTACAAGGTCGTTGATTCAGGCTGAGATTCGGTGCATGTGGCAGAAAACAAAGCATTCTATGCCGGACGTTATGGACCTGCAGGCTGCAGGAGAAAATCAGAGCTAAATCTGCAAGGGTATGCCTGGTGGGAGGCAGTCTAGCAGACATAAACGGATCCTGTATACGGTGGAAAGACTGGCACAATTCAGAAGTGGGGCTTAGAAGGCACCAGTCCCAAGTGGCAGGACCCAATACAGGCCACATGAATTCAACAGCATGGCAGAGTGGAGGAGACCAGCATGTTTGTTACACATGTTTCTGGCGATGCCATCTGAAGCAGCACGTGCCGGTGTTGGGACTGGATGGGCTGCTTCCACACACCTCACGCAAAGCATTCATGCCGTGCTCTGTTCATGTTCGTATGCCGCACGAGCAATGCATTCTATGTAAGATCGGACGTCAGTGATCGCTACCCCTGATGCCAGTCTGGTTTGCCAGCGAGTATTCGAGTCCCTCTCTTCTCTTTCCCTTCTCTCCCCTCTGTTCCCCTCGTAGAATTTGTAAATGCAAGTGAATGAGCATTCACTAAGTGAACAGGCAAACAGAACTGCTTAGTGCATATTGATGAACATCTTGAAGACAATGGGACGAAGTATAGTGTGCGAGTGTGCCAAAAAGGCGAGGAGCAGGTGTTGGCACCCATTCATTCGTCAACTCCACGAACATGGTTTGCCTTGCACCGCTCAAATTGCAGTACTGAAACGTGCCCATTCCACCGAAACATCATCACAACCGTTATAGAATATCCACATGGTGTGTTCTAATTGTCTTGTCCAATCAACTATGATATGCAGGATAGTCCTAGTATCGAGCATCTCGATCCAACAGAGGAATCACTGGACCCATTTCCTCCCTGTGAAGTATGGGATATAGGACTGGAGCCACATTGACTTTTTTCTACCTCAGAACACACTTAGAGCAGCTAGAATTGGATCCCCCTGTATGGCTATGCCATTTGAATTTTGAATGAAGAAGGGGGAGGTAGGCACACAATACCCATTATTCATTACTCTGTCAAACTTGGATATGGATTGCTATTGAAAACCAACGATTCACACCTGGAAAGACACAGGAGATGGGCAAAAAGTGCCAAAAACACTAGGCCTCAAACACAATCTAAGTTTGAAGATACCATGGAGGAAATTCAAGCCGATGAGGCCGCCGAAAGTCAGGAGCCTCCAGTGGCTACTTACATACATTGCTCTCCAAGTTAACTACTCGCTGCACATCAAGAGAGGGGGGGGGGGGGGGGAGAAGGGGAGGAGGGAGACTGACCTGAAGAGCTCAGATAAATGATTAGCCTGCTCATCTCAGGCACATGAAGACATTCAACGCTGTCTCATCAGAAAGTGAGGCAGAGTCAGGAAAATGAGCCAGAGCTAGCGACCTTCGGACTCAACTATTCCCCTCACTCTTTCCCAGTGTCCGCTCCAAATCCATCCATATGGACTAACGTCACGTCCTTTCTAAGCAAGCCCAAAAGGTTGTGGTCGGTAGGTTGTGGTTGGTTTGATCAAGACACTAACTCTGACAGTGACTCGGAAAGAGAGTTGCAGCATTACCTGGACAACAAGGAGCTCTACAGATCAGATATGCGCCTCTATTAAGGACATCGTTCAAGCAGAAATCAACTATAAAATTATAAATGCAAACATGCAAAGATCCTCATCCAGAGGACTCCAGAATCCAGATTGGAAACAGGGGGATACTGTTGCAACCTTCAAGCGCATATGGTTAATCAATGGCAAGGTTGGGGATTTGCAGGGCTTAGATCTCGCGTGGATTCGTTTTAGCACAACTCTGGCAGTATGAGAAGATGTCCAAAAACACATCCCCCCAGGGCCCAGGATGCACAATTTGCAGCGCAAACCTATTTTTGAATGTTGATTACAGCTCGCGAATCACAGTTCACTAAACTAACAGGACTGCGGCGGGAGTAACCGGCATTCCAATCATCTGCGAACACCACATCCTGAAAGGAGTTGAGCGCTTCAGGGGAATCTGGCATTATGTGCGCAGATGGAGAGGAAATTGAGGAATCCAACAAGGAATAGGCAGGCCTGGCAGTCAATCAACCCTCTAAGGAGCAATGAATACTGCACAGGGGTTTCGTTCGATCGTAACTTAACGGGAAGGAAGTGTGATGCATTGTCTGAAAATTCAGACTTTTCCAATGGATAAGGAACCAGGCTGATGTTCGCCACAATGAATGGAATGGAGCTGGTTAAAGCAAAAAAATAAGAGGAGAATGTTCCAGTTACGATAAATGGAACGCTGTGGTATATAAATAAAACTTATTAAAAAGAGAATATTGAATATTCCAATAAATGCATCTGACTAAGTTTAGAAAGAATTCATAAATCATTTCAACAAAAGGTTGCCAAGCATTGGGTACTAAATGACCTCCATTCATGGTGACAAAATGAAATAAAAGCAAAACTAAACTAATAGTGAGTAGCATAAACAAAGATGAATTAGTAAAAGAAAGATACAAGTTTCCTATATGAAAAGGAATCAATGGAATAATAGCAAATTGTTCTAGGGGACTAAAAGCCATTATGAATTTATGAATTCTCTTTTTTTTTTACGGAGCTTTTGATGATCGAGCTCTCAAAGCCAAAGCAATCTAATATACTCGGAAAAAAGCAAAGGCCGTAGGCTCGCTAGCTAGAGAAAGATTAATCACTACAATTATACTTTTTATTATTTTTTCAAGCATCGAGTCTGGACGAAAAAGGGATTGCTGTGGTGATTGTTTAGAACATGCTGAGAGAGAGAGAGAGAGAGAGAGAGATGCACCGTCGTCGCACTGGTAATCCAACCCAGTACGAGAGGAACCGTTGGTTCGCACAGTTGGCAATTGTGCTTGGCTGAAAAGCCAGCGGTGCAAAGCTACCGTGCGTGGGATTACGACTGAACGCCTCTAAGTCAGAATCTGTGCGCGCGCGGGAGAGAGAGAGAGAGAGAGAGAGAGAGAGAGAGAGAGAGAGAGAGAGAGAGAGATCAGCTGGGAGGCAAGCAGTTAGACAGGGAGGAAGGGATTGAGGGAGACAGAGGGATACAAGCTCTACGATCCAATCGCCCGTTACTGGTCGATGTGTGCATATGAACATGCGCTGGTTCCACATTCCCAGAAAACATTTTCATTTTGGCTTCCCTTTTGAGCTGGCATCAGCCGATCAAAGTCGTATTTGACCAGATGCATTAAAAAACAATGTGTTTTTGTCTATTGACATATTGGAGCTTCTTCAAACTATGTCTGTATTCTCCTTGTTTATTATGGTGGATGGTCTATGGCTTTTGAATGCACAGCTGTTTAATCTGACTACTGAAGAGGCGAAACACTTCCTCAAGAAGTATGTTAGCATGGGTCCAAATACAAGGTGAGTGCTATGTGTGCTGATTATCTTGCCATTAGCTCCCCGTGTCTATTTCGAAAAGAGATCTTCAATGATGTGAGCAACCAGGAAGTGTTTCCCATGCCTGTCCATGTTCTTTTTTTTAACAGGTCCTTATGGTCCTGGCTCCTTGTTGTCCATTCTGGGGAGCATCAGTCCGGCGGCTGCTATTCCGCCGGCAAGTTGAAAACACAGTTGCTTTTCCATTTTGGGGAGCATCAGTCCAGGTCCTTCTTACCCAGCATTGCCAGCAAGTAAAAAATAGATAGATCATATACACACACGAAATGCTGCCGGAACGTCTGGCTGAGCTGACCGGCATTGATTTCTCCTTAAACCACCCGTATGTTTCCCAGCCGTTTTTCTGGGGCACGGCCTACCAGAGCTAAATGGGAGGCGGCACCAGCCGAAAAAGGAAATGTGTCAGTATGTTTCTCTTTTAAACCGCCAGTACACGGCCCCAGCCTTGCTGAAGAGACACTTGTCGCCTATCCGGAAAGTTGGCGCCGGAAATTGGCGGCCGGCGTCCCTTTTCAGCCTCTGACACGGTCTCACGGCCGATGTGAGGCGTGTACTGGTGGTTTAACTTGCAGGGTGTTTCTAAGCTCGGCAAGGGAAGGGTTTTAAGTACTGGTGGTTTAATTGGAGGATTCACTGTCTGCTTGCCATCTTTTGAGATATCTTTTTTTTCCCCTTTACTAAAGCTTATCTATATTCTTCTCTCAATTTCACCTCTGACTACCTACCTACTGCTCCTGAACCTACCTGCGAGCACGGCTACGTCTCACAATCAAGTGGATGCATGTTGCCCGCCGCCATAATCGGCGGTGGTTTCCCCTGAGACTAAACTTGAGCTGAGGCTGCCAGCTCTGCTTGCAATACAAGAAGCTCTGAAATATTGGTGCCGCTTTTTCAGGTGATGTCCCATTCCTTCCATCTCAGCCTTGTTGTTGTGGATTGCCAGAATTTTTCCCTCCAGAAGCCAATCTCGTGAGAACTCCTTACTCTCGCGCCTCTCTGCGTGAGTCGTCCCTGTTTTCACAATCGACGCCCATGAGTCGTCCCTGTTGCCACCGGCATCTCATCTCCGTTTCCACCTTGTCACTATGTGGGACCCAAGCTCTCCTTGTCTGTGTCTCATGAGCGTCAATTGTGAGCAAGCACCATCACTTCCAGATTGGCAAAGGTTGACCTTCCACAGTGACAGGAACCATAGTCTTGCCGCGCCGTGTAGAAAGGGGGGGATTTGGATGGCTAGAAGAGTCTTGAGGAGGCAACCAGAACCAGGCTGCAGTCGTGCAGGAGTTCAGGCAGTGCAAGCGCTCAGCATAGCTTTGTTACTCTGTTCATGAACCAGGCAGCAGCGGTGCGCACGATCTGGCGGTGTAACATGTCCTCTCCCAGGTCGTTTGAGCACATTTTGCACATAGTGGAGCTTTCTTGGGGGTCAGATCGTTTTCTGCAATCTTTGAGCCACTTGTTGACTGGGATGCCTACATATGCACTCAGCCACTGAAGACTGCGAAGCTTTGCTGGTGTAAGTTTCTCATGTTTCTCTCCACCGGGTTTCAATGGGTCTGCTGGAGAGGAGTTGGTAGTTTTTTGCATTTGCTTTGCATTTCCGGGGCTGGGTCCTTGGTTCTCGGCCCGATTTCGTACACGAACATGGCGAAGTACTTGCAACGGGCTGGGCTCTTCTTGTTGTCTTCTGCTTCCAGTTCCATTCCCATGCGTCAAATTTCAGCTCGCCTATGCTTCTGTGTGGCTCGAACAGTTCACCAAGATTCGTTTTTGACTGACCTCACTTTCCTAAGGTGAAATGCGTCGAGCTAGATGGACTCGAGGTTGCTGCAAACGACTTCCCGTCTGTGGTTCTTGCCTAAGGCAAACGGGTAGGAGATCAACCTTGCCCTGTAGCAGCCAGTTTGGAGCCTTTCGATCGACGGAATGCTCAGGATGGGGTCTGTGGGGCGATGGGAATCCCCCTTCCTTAACCAGGCCTAAGGTGTCGAGCTGGATGGATTCAAGGTCGCTGCAACCTACGTCCCATTCTTCGTTCTTGCCGAAGGCCACCCGGTAGGAGATCAACCTTGCCTTGTAGCAGCCAGTTTGGAGCCTTTCGATGGACGGAATGCTCTGGAGGGGGTCTGTGGGGCGATGGGAATCCCCCAATTCCCTGGTTTCAACGTGAAGTCTTCCTTAAGCAGGCCTATCCAAGATAGGGGGATACTTTCAATCGTAGACGCTAGGTTGGCCGCTATAGCATGGAAGCCTTTGAGAGTCACTCTTAACTCCTGCTCATTCTGCCAGGTAGAATAGACGCTAAGTTGGCTGCTATAGCATGGCAGCCTTCGAGAGTCACAACTCCTGCTCATTGTGCCAGGTAGAATCTGTGGTAGTGTATGTCTGGTAGGCCAGTCCAGTGCAGTTGGTTCGGTCGCAGGTAGCATATGACCCGGTGAATATTCCAGAAACGCTAAATGGCCCAAGCCTGCAGGGTATTGCATCAACCGCATCTGTAAATCCATGGCCTGGAAGCTGCATCGTCACATACAACAGCCGACCAGCTGTTGCCGTCATTTGTTCATTCCACTCTGTGTGGAAGCGGTTCTGCGCCAAAGAGCGACTAATTGATGAGTGAAGCAGTCAGTGGGAGCGAGAGACGGGATAACGGTTAACGGGATCTGGGCATCATAACTCTAGATGTACCATGGCTAGAAGAGTGAGAGACAAGACACTCTGAGAGACCTGGGGGCCGAGGTGTGAGAGTTCATACTTTCGTTGTCGATGATGGTGGGCTTAGATAGCCAGTAGACAGTTTCGGGGTGTGATAGCTGTTGATGTACATAGTGCAAGGAAAATGAGCAATAGCGAAATGACAGAAATCCCAGAGTGCAAAAATCACATTGAAAGCCAGCAAGTCCGGACTGCTGTCCAGAGAGCAGTAATGCACTGATATTCCACCAGCGGAGAAACAAAGCACTGAATCCGATTGTGAATGAGAGAATACTCTCACCACCAACAACATATGTATCCAGAGTCCTTCCTCCTACTTGGCGCTCAGCGCCCAGACTACAATCACGCAGCTTACTAGCAGCCTACGAATTGACAATGCATCCTGTTGACGTCAGCAGCAGAACCGATGTACATGAAGATGTCGACCCTTGTAAACCATCGCCAAGACCAGGTACGTGCCCTCACATCATCCTCCTCATCTCTCTCACTCTCTCCCTCGTCCTCTCTGCCCTCGTCTTCTCTCTCATGCACGAAGACCACCACCACCTCCACTGGCTATGTCTAAGCCCCAGCCTGGCTATGAAGGCTGGGCTATGGCGCTGCCCTCAGCAGGGCCTTGTACCCTCTCGATGCCCGTGTGCGCCCGCAACTAGTGCTAGCGCAGCAAGCAGCCCACGAGACAAAGCTCCAGCAGCGCTGCCGCTTGCAAGTGCAAGTGCCGAATGTCCTCTCCAGCGCCCTGCCCTTTCCTATATGGAAAGTGGCGGGCGCTTTCGCTCGCTTCCCACGTGAGACCGAGTTTCCAGTAGCTTCAGTCTTGGCCAAAGTGTCTGTGCCCAGGCCCGTTCAGACAGTGGCCTGGGAGCGAATTGGTTAGGCATGCCCAACCACCCAGGCACGGATGTGCGGTGCTCCCTGCTTACACCACGTGCCGGAAGGGCCTGGAAGGCTCACAAATATTTTGGATTCTCACGAGCAAGGCGGATGTAACCAACTGGCACGTGGCAAAACTGTCTGGCACCAACCAAGGTTTGCAAAAATTGACGAGTTCAGGGTGCATTGAGGTTCAGGGGGCCTGCCTTCACTTAGGGCGGGCGCGAGCCTACTGCAGGGCCCTATGCCGAGGCGATAACCCTCGCAATAGCTAGGAGAGGAGAGAGAAGACATTCAGAGAGGAGAGAGAGAGAGACCTGAGGGTCAATGTGTGAGGGTTCATCCTTTTCTGTTGATGCTGGCAGTCATAGCTGCCCAGCCAGATGCATGCTAACACACTTGTATAAGGCTGCAATTTCTGGATAAGTTGAGTTTCACAGTGGGGGGCTCTGGATTTCATCTTTGTGTATGTGAGGTGTGCAGCTCGGTTTAAGCATGAGACATTGATTTGATGTTTGAAGTTCGGATTCATTGCATTTTTAACTGGTTGCAAGATGATCGCTCAATCAGCAGCCATCATCTCCCAGGGCCCAGGGGGAACCAATCGATAGCTGATGGCCAGGTTGGCGATGTGTTCGTTCGTCCTAGTAGCAGCACGAGCGAGGAGAGGCCAACTGGATTAACCCATTACTTCAACAGGGAACATGAATAACCTTTTTGACAGGTCCCTTGATGTTCTCCACCCAATTGGCCCTCTCTCAGAACAGGTCACTCGACAGCTTTCTGACCGCATCCACTCTTATCTTTTCTCTCAGCCCCTTCTGCCCCCTAACCACAACCTCCCTGCCCTCTATGTCTCACCCCTCTTCAGTCGTCGCAAGGCAAGTGGGTGCTTTGGGTCCTGTCAAGTTTTAAGTTGTTGGGTACTACGTCTCACCCCTTGTCTCACTGCTGCTATGCATTTTGTTGAGTACTTGTCACATTTTGAAGTTGCTGATGCTGAGTTTCTTTATGCTGTGACTGTGATTGATGTGTGTTTGCATCGTACAGAGGTCATGTGAGTCTTGAGAAGTTTCTTATGGCTTTGGATCTACCGATCACGAATCTAACGAAACAGGTGAATGGCCTTGCAGGTTATTTTATCCCTTGTCGGATTAATTTTCTCCGCAAAGTACCTCATCCCACACGTATTTGCACTTTCTCTATTTCGATAAACAGCAACAGACCATTCTTATGGAATGCACTCCGCAGGTCGCCCAACCATCCGGCTGCCGGGAGACACGTAAAACCTCTGATTTTTTAGTGTGATTATTTTTTTTTGTCCAATTGGTGGTGCTTCTCTGTGCGCACTGAAAATAGCCCAAATCCAGGCTCTTTTCTGTTTATCCGTGTTGTCCGTAGGGGGCGAGGGGGGAGTTGCGGGAAGGGGGTGTAAAGCGGTGCTGGTCGCCGGATGGACCGGGGACCCCTACCCCATCCGCGGTCCTTCCGGTTGGACCGGCCGGTGGCCCGGGCCGGTTCCCTCCCGGTTGCCCCCAGCGCATTTTCGCTGGGGGCTGAATTTTTTTTTTTGTCGGCGCGTATGTGTTCCCAAGGCCTCGTGGGGGCGGGCCCTGCCCCGCAATTTCGAAACCGGGTCCTGTAGGCCTGGATTTTTCAAGTACAGAAAGTGACCAATCTTGGCCGCCGATCGTCGCAGATCAGCGTCAACGATCGGCCAGGACCCCATTTCTATAAGAAAAACGGGCAGACAATATCCGCCGCTGATCTATGCAGATCAGCAGCGGAGAACAGCCACGCGTTTTTCCTAAGATGTGGGTCGGGTAGGCCCCTAATCCAATTTGTCATCTTGTGGTCCAATGGACCAGTTACTATTGGCAACATCTGATGCTCTTTCACCCTCAGCCACAAGGGGAACACTATGCTTCTGATGAGACTCTGCTGAGATTATATCCTTCTGCGACGTCCCTGCCATCTGTGGAAAAAAGTTATGGGTTCGGATTTTGGAATTGTGATTTCAGAGCCGTCCGAGGTGCAATCCCAAGAATGGACCTAAAATATAGGGCGTTGCTGCACTACTCTCGACATGCACAAAAGATAAAAATCTTGGCGGTTTATCTTTCCGAATTCTAGCGGAAGATTCACTCTCGTTTTGCACATTTCGAGAGTAGTGCAGCGAGGCCCATATTCTTCTCTCTATCTATCTCGAATGGACCTTGCTCCACTACATGTATCTGGACAGACTGGCAGACAAGATACTTCCGAGGTGCAATCCCAAGAATGGACCTAAAATATAGGGCGTTGCTGCACTACTCTCGACATGCACAAAAGACAAAAATCTTGGCGGTGTATCTTTCCGAATTCTAGCGGAAGATTCACTCTCGTTTTGCACATGCCCATATTCTTCTATCTATCTATCTCGAATGGGCCTTGCTCCACTACATGTATCTGGACAGACTGCCAGACAAGATACTTCCGGACTGACAACTCACCTTATGTAGGAACCAACACACAGAAAACGCTCTGCCTCCACGAGCAGAAAGCTGGAACCATAACTTTTCTGCTGTCGAAATATACTCTGGAAGAGCTATAATTTCGGGCAAGGACCTCCTCTCATCATATCTGGTTCAGCTCGTGGGGTATCAATATCAAATGACATACTCCACRAAGTGCTCCAGCGACGGGGGGGTCGGATAAGTGAACTTGCTTACTTGACCCCTCCCTGAGGAAGCCTAGTTGCCTGAATATGTCAATGATAACCCCCTGCCCCCCTCTCGAAGCCCCCTGAAAAATGTTGTACCTTAAAAATTTTATTGCG